GGGGGGCAAAGGCCGAGCTGCTCTCCAACAATGGAAAGGACTCGGCTTCATTATTGATAAGACGACTATAGAAGCGTGGAGTGGGCTGGAAGGGGCAGAGGGCGAGAGGGGGAGGGGAGGGGAGGGATTTGAAAAGTCGTGTGGCGTCAGCAGTTCCAGCAGCAACGGATGACGAGAGCAGAAGTGTGTGGGAGAGGGAGGGAGAGCGGGGAGAGAGAGAGAGAGAGTGAGAGAGAGAGAGAGTGAGAGAGAGAGAGAGAGAGCGAGAGAGAGCGAGCGAGAGAGAATCAGGCAGAGATAGGCGACAGACAGGCGACAGGTATAGAGGCCTTGTTCTAAAACACAGGCCTGGGAATGAAGCGAGAATCAGACGCTTGAATCGAGTCAAGGTAACGTCACGTCAGTTTCGCTTCGCCTGTCTCTCGCTCGCTGGTTGTCGCTGGGAATGGAGGGAGAAAGATTTCGTAGTCGAGGGGGACGTCGCTGCGAGGGGAGAGTGTCCCCGTGATGAATAAATAGCTGAGTACGTAAGTACAAACGCGACGCGAGTCTTCCTCTTGCAGAGCTAAAGACAGATGGGTCGCGGGCAGGTAGGAAAAGATGGTACTTGACCTCTCTCTGCTGCGGTATCACCTTGTCTCTGCAAAACTGGTAACACCCAGAAAAATGATTTCTTGTTTCAAGTACATTTGTAACCCAAGATTTTTTTCTTGTTACCAAAACAATTTTTCTTTTAAGAAAGAACATTTTCTCAACCGAAAGTTAATATCATCACTACTCTGTTGAGTAAAATTGATCTTAGGTCAAAATGTGCTTGGAATAAGAAAACATTTTTCTAGGTGCACGAGAAAACTTGCAGGTAACAGGTAACACAAAGCACACCACTGTGTGATATCCCCGTCGCCACGGGCCGCGCCTCCCCCGCGGTCTAGACAGAGGAAGGAGTAAGGACCCCCTTCGCATTGCTACGTAGCGTGACACGGCGGGGCGGAGCGGGGCGGGGCGAGGCCGACGTGGGGTAATCCCAACACGCCCCCACGGCACCCAGCCGCGACGACTACCCTCTCGGAAAGTTGGGCCTCCGCCGCTCTTATCCAACTCCAAAGGGAGCAACAACT